TCTGAATCTTTCAACTGACCACCTTGATTAGCATACAATGGGCTGGCTGTGCCTGGAGCAAACTCTTCTTGAAAGGTGATTAGATGTCCCTGCCTGTTTTTTTCCCTGCTGTTTCTGCTGTTGCAATTTTAGAATTTTTTAATACTGGTAGCCAGATTTTGTTCATTTTTATGGTTTCTTCCTTTCTGTTGAAATTGTCCACATGTTTGTGGATTTCAATGGCTTCTCTGTGTAGTCTGACATGGTGGTTGTGAGAGTGAGAAATTAGGAAAATTATATTTATATATCTGTGGAATATCCATGGTGGGAGAAAGAACTCTTGTCTGCTTGAGGCAAGTGTGAATGTTGCAATTGGACACCTTGATTATCATTTAAATGTTAGAAATATTAAAAATTAACTGGGTATTTTTGATTACAAAAGGGTGAAAGAGTTAGCAGGCCGAAGCCTGTTAGAGTTAGTGGGCCAAAGCTAGCATCGCTCTGAGGAGACTGAGTAGGCTGAAGCCTGTTAGAGTTACTTTGCCTCAGTCTGTGTGAGGAGGCTTGTCTATGAGGTAAACCTCTGTGTGAGAGAAGCCTCATCTGTGTGAGAGAAGCCTTGTGTGAGGAGCTCCAGTGTATAAAGGCTGATGCATGTAAAGTTACTATGTATTTGTTCATTTATTTATGTTATCAAAACCTTGTTGTTGTAAATAGTGCAACTGTATTATTTCACTACAAACAAAAGCCTCCTGTGGAAGATATAACATTGGTCTCTGGGTTTTCGTTCTTTTTAATCACTTTGGGCTGTTTTACTGCTGCTAATGAGCTGCTCTGCTATACGTTTATGAGGAGGGTCTTTTGTTGATAAGCTGAGGTGTTAGCTGGCCCCGGTTAATTAGTGTTGCTCTTTATATACTGATTTTAGAGTCTTTTAATACTGATTTTAGAGTCTTTTAATACTGATTTTAGAGTCTTTAAATACTGGTGGCCAGATTTTGTTCATTTTCATGGTTTCCTCCTTTCTGTTGAAATTGTCCACATGCTTGTGGATTTTCAGTGGCTTCTCTGTCATGGCCCCCTTCCACACGGCTGAATAATATCCCACATTTTCTGCTTTTAGAATCATAGAGTTGGAAGAGACCTCATGGACCATCCAGTCCAACCCCCTACCAAGAAGCAGGAATATTGCATTCAAATCACCCCCGACAGATGGCCATCCAGCCTCTGTTTAAAAGCTTCCAAAGAAGGAGCTTCCACCACACTCCGGGGCAGAGAGTTCCACTGCTGAATGGCTCTCAGAGTCAGGAAGTTCTTCCTCGTGTTCAGATGGAATCTCTTTTCTTGTAGTTTGAAGCCATTGTTCCGTGTCTTAGTCTCCAGGGAAGCAGAGAATAAGCTTGCTCCCTCCTCTCTGTGGCTTCCTCTCACATGTATTGTTGCATTGATGTTTTTGATGTTAATTAATTGATACTACTGTTTTAAATGACTAATGATTTTGTACTGTGTTGCTGATACTGGTTATTAACCGCTCTGAGTCGCCTGATGGCTGAGAAGAGCTGTATACAAGTAAAGTAAACAAACAAGTAAACAAACACATATTTATACATGGCTATCATATCTCCTCTCAGCCTTCTCTTCTTCAGGCTAAATATGCCCAGCTCCTTAAGCCGCTCCTCATAGGGCTTGTTCTCCAGACCCTTGATCATTTTAGTTGCCCTTCTCTGGACACATTCCAGCTTCTCAACATCTCTCTTGAATTGTGGTGCCCAGAATTGGACACAGTATTCCAGGTGTAGTCTAACCAAGGCGGAATAGAGGGGTAGCATCACTTCCCTAGATGTAGACACTATGCTCCTATTGATGCAGGCCAAAATCCCATTGGCTTTTTTTGCTACCACATCACATTGTTGGCTCATGTTTAACTTGCTGTCCATGGAATATATGGCAGTGTGGACTCAGATAACCCAGTTCAAAGCAGATGTTGTGGGATTTTCTGCCTTGATATTCTGGCTGATATGGCTGTGTGGAAAGGCCAGTGTTGGTTGTTCGAGTGGTCCAGCATCGCCCTGAGGAGACTGAGTAGGCCGAAGCCTGTTAGAGTTAGTCTGCTTCAGTGAGGGAACTCATCGATCCCTCACTGACATGCTGTGTCTAAGGGCCCTTCCATACAGCCCTATATCCCAGAATATCCCACAGTATCTGAATGTAGACTCAGATAACCCAGTTCAAAGCAGATATTGTGGGATTTTCTGCCTTAATAATCTGGGTTATAGAGCTGTGTGGAAGGGCCCTGGGTTATCTGAGTCCACACTCAGATAACATAGGTTTTTCTGCCTTGATATTATGGGTTATAGGGCTGTGTGGAAGGGTCCCAGCTTGGTTCATAAGGTACTCTGCTATGGTTGAATAAGGCCCCTTCCACACAGCTGAATAAAATCCTACATTTTCTGTTTTGAATTGGAATATATGGCAGTGTAGACTCAGATAACCCAGTTCAAAGCAGATATTCTGATACACTTTACTTGCTTGCTTAGACACATCCCTCGTAGCTTGATGATGTACCTCCAAGGTAATGGTCCTCCTGGTCGTGGCCCATAGGAGGCTGTGGAGCCCTATTCTTGATCCACATGTTCTCCCACAGTGAGGACATCTCCCACAATGAGGAACTCTCTGCCCCGGAGTGTGGTGGAGGCTCCTTCTTTGGAAGCTTTTAAACAGATGCTGGATGGCCATCTGTCAGGGCTGCTTTGAATGCAATATTCCTGCTTCTTGGCAGGGGGTTGGACTGGATGGCCCATGAGGTCTCTTCCAACTGTTTGATTCTATGATTCTCGGTCGGGTGAGAGTATACAGCCCTGCCATACTCCTTTCCTAGTCTTGAACCAGTCTGTTGCTCCATGGTCAGTTCTTACTGTTGCTACTTGGTCATTATACAGATTCCTCAGGAGAGAGATAAGGTGACTTGGTATCCCCATACCACCAAGAACTTGCCACAATTTATTATGATCCATGCAGTCAAAGGCTTTAGAATAGTCAATAAAACAGAAATAGATGTTTTTCTGAAACTCCCTGCCTTTCTCCATTAGGTAAAGGTAAAGGTAGTCCCCTGGCATTAAGTCCAGTCATGTCTGACTTTGGGGCGTGGTGTTCATCTCCATTTCTAAGTCGAAGAGCCAGCGTTGTCCGTAGACACCTCCAAGGTCATGTGGCTGGCATGACTGCATGGAGCGCCGTTACCTTCCCGCCGGAGCGGTACCTATTGATCTACTCACATTTGCATGTTTTCGAACTGCTAGGTTGGCAGAAGCTAGGGCTGACAGCGGAAGCTCACGACGCTCCCCGGAATCGAACCTGCGACCTTTTGATCAACAAGCTCAGCAGCTCAGTGGTTTAACCCACTGCACAACCGGGGGCTCCGCCTTTCTCCATTATCCAGTGGATATTGGCAATTTGGTCTCTTGTTCCGCTGCCTTTTCTAAACCCAGCTTGTACATCTAGCAACTCTTGCTCTTTGGAGGTTTTTAAACAGAGGCTGGATGGCCATCTGTCAGGGGTGCTTTGAATGCAATATTCCTGCTTCTTGGCAGGGGGTTGGACTGGATGGCCCATGAGGTCTCTTCCAACTCTATGATTCTATGTCTTGCTGGAGTTTTCCTTGCAGGATCTAAGGGCATTGCCTGCCACTGTACGAAAGTTTGGCTTTGTGAAAGCCCCATAGATAATGTGGGATTTTCTGCCTTGATATTCTGGGAGATATAGGGCAGGATGGAAGGGCCCAAGGTCCCTTCCACACAACGGAATAAAACCCCACAATATCTGCTTTGAACTTTAATCTTGTACCCATTACTCTGGCCCGGCGCAGTTTTATTGTGTTTAGTGTATTGTGCCTGTTGTTTATTTTGCTTTATTCTGCCTTTAATTGTTTGATTTGCTTAGATTGTATTGTTGTGTTGTGTGTTGAGGCCTCGGCCTATGTAAGCCGCATCGAATCCTTCGGGAGATGCTAGCGGGGTACAAATAAAGTTTAATAATAATAATAATAATAATAATAATAATAATAATAATAGGTTCTTGTGGGTTTTTCTCGGGCTATAGAGCCATGTTCTAGAGGCATTTCTCCTGACGTTTCGCCTGCATCTATGGCAAGCATCCTCAGAGGTAGTGAGGTCTGTTGGAATTAGGACAATGGGTTTATATATCTGTGGAATGGCTGGGGGGGCAAGGAGCTCTTCCCTGCTGCAGTTAGGTGTGAATGTTTCAGCTGATCACCTTCATTAGCATTTGAAGGCCTGCCTGAGCCTGGGAAAATCTCTTGCTGGGAGGTGTTAATCTGTGCCTGGTTGTTTCCTCTCTGTTGTTTTGCTGTTGTAATTTTAGAGTTTTTAATACTGGTAGCCAGATTTTGTTCATTTTCATGGTTTCCTCCTTTCTGTCGAAATTGTCCACATGCTTGTGGATTTCAATGGCTTCTCTGTGTAGTCTGACATGGTGGTTGTGAGAGTGGTCCAGCATTTCTGTGTTCTCAAATAATATGCTGTGTCCAGGCTGGTTCATCAGGTGCTCTGCTATGGCTGACTTCTCTGGTTGAAGGCAGAAATGCCTCTAGAACATGGCTCTATAGCCCGAAAAAACCCACAAGAACCTAGTGATTCCAGCCATGAAAGCCTTCGACAATAATAATCATATATGGCTGTGTGTACTCAGATAACCCTGTGTGGAAGGGCCCTGAGTCCATACTCAGATAATGTGGGATTTTCTGCCTTGATATTAGGGGATATAGGGCTATGTGGAAGAGCTCTAAGACAAATTATCTTTTGTGTTTCCATCTTTTGACAACCTGCCAGATAGACTTGATTCAGCAGCTGTCCGTGTGATTAATGATTACTTCCTTAAGTGTTTGCTTAGCTTTCAGCTGTGAGCACAAAAAGCACAAGCCGGCGGCAGGGGGCGATGGAGGGCCGCTTTGAGGCTTTTGCTGGGCTTGTTAGCTTCCCCGGGGGAGGCTTTCCCTCCCCTTTCTCCCCCTCTTCCTCGGGGGTGGTTCCAGGGAAAGGAAGGCGGGGAAGAAGCCCCGAGAAGCGAGGAAAGTGCTTTAGCAGCCCTTGGAGAGAGAACGAGGGCCGCCTAAGAAGCCAAAAGCAGCTCAATACAGGACGCAACGCAGGCTGCTGCTTTGCAAAGTCGGATGCTTTTTTCATTTTCAGGCTGCTCCAAGGGAAAAGCTTTGGGCCCGTTTGGCCGGTATTGCAGCGATTTGGGACCGGATTTTTGCTCCTGCTGGGGAGGGCGAAGGATAAGAAGGAGAAGGAAGTGGGGAAAAGTGGAAGCGGATTGGAAATGGTGAGAGCAGGAAATATTCACGCCTCCCTCTAAACTCAGGCGGGATTTCTCCTTTGTTTGGTAAGTTTGGAATTGGAGCTGATGTTTCTTCCTTGCAGCTGGAGACTTCTGTAAGACACTGCAGGGCCCTTTTGCACAGCCATATAACCCAGAACAGGCCTGTAGCGAGGGGGTGGTTTTAGGGGTTCAACCCCCCCCCCGAAATGTTTCAGATTTTTTTTTTAAAAAAAAACCTGGTTTACTCACGAATTTTAACTGGTTAACCAAATCCCCATGCTAAGTCTATGAGATGCAAAAAAATAAGAGTCCCTCCAGAACTGTAAGCACTATCTCAAGCAAATATTGACAATTTATTCACACTGTCATTACTTGCAGCAATAGCCGATGTAGTGAAGCAACCAAGTTGGGTGTGTGTGTGTTGAATGCTCTCATTAAGGAGGCCAGACTTGGTGGAGGTGGTTGACAGGGGCGGAGCTGCAGGCTATGGAAGGCTGCTCTGCCCTCTGCTGTGCTCTTTGCTTCAGCATGAGCTAGGAGGCAGGTTTCAACCCCCTCCCCCCAACCCCCTCTCCCCCGCCAAAATTGTCAACCCTCCCCGAAATTTTTTTCTGGCTACGGCCCTGACCCAGAATATCTGCTTTGAACTGGGTTATTTAAGTTTGCTACTGTTTTAAATTGCAGCTGGAGGCTTCTTCATTGTGTTTTTTCGAAGTGTGAGACTCTTGAGTCCTATGTTGAGTGAGCTATTACTATTAGTATCAGTTGAGCATCCCATAATCCTGAAATCCTCCCTACATGGGACACAAGAGAGTGACCCCTTGCTTTCTGATGGTTTAGAGTAGGCTTGAGTAAACTTGGGCCCTCCAGGTGTTTTGTACTTCAACTCCCATATTTCATATCAGCCTCAGAATATTAGAATGTTGAGGTTGGCCAATCAGAAACCATATGCAAATTAGTAGATGGAGATAGCTCATGCATGGACCAACTTGGGCCCTCCAGGTGAGGGAGATGATATACCATATTTAGGGGCTTCTGGGGGTGCGTTAGACGCATAGGCTGTATGCATATTATATTGGGAACATTGCAAGTTGCCTGGGGTGGGCATGCCGTACTTGGACTCCTGTGGTAAACAGGATGATTGACCAAGGCACACTTGCTCCATGATTGCTACTGCTTGATTGCCCCATGGTTGCCTGGAACAGGCTGACCACAGAGAACATAGTTGCCCCATAGCTTCTCAGAACAACCGCTAACCACAGGGTACATGGTTGCTACATGTTTACTGGTGGTTGACCACAGGGTACACAGGGCGCGTTATGTAACCGGAATATGGTTGCTAAATTCATTGTTGAGGGTATATAAGCTCAACGGTCGTGCCATTAGGCGCAGCAGCTTGGTATGGGCATTACTACTGTGTATGCTGTCTGTCCGCCTTTCTTACTGCAGTCTGAAATAGACCTGTGTTTTGCTCTAACTGATTGGAGTCCTGTGGCAATCTATAGCGACCTGATAAGATCCTGGAGGGTTTAGGGACGGCGTACCCTTACACAGGTGTTTTGGACTTCAACTCTCACCATTCCTAACAGTCTCAGGCATAGGAGGGGGCCTGAGGCTGTTAGGAGTGGTGGGAGTTGAAGTCCAAAACACCTGGAGGGCCTAAGTTGGCCCATACCTGGTTTAGAGGCACACATTTTGTTTCATGTACAAAAACAATGTGTATAAAATTATCCCCATGCTGTGTGTATGAAGCATCTATGCAATCTACATGTTTAGACTTTGGTCTTGGCTCCTAAGATATCTCATTATGCAAGTATAGGCAAATATAGGTATTTCAAAATCTGATAAAAAAACAAAAACACCAAACTCCAAAACGCTTCTACTTCTGAGTATTTGGGATAAGGGATGCTCAGTCTATGTTATTTATAATACAATAAATAAAGGAATGCTTTTGTATTGCTATGAATCTACAAGCACTCCCTTCGCATGCCTTTATTTACACCAGTCAGTTCTCAACCTGAGGGTCCCCAGCTGTTTTGTCCTTCAGCTTCCAGAAATCCTCCAAAACCTGGCTGGGATTTCTGGGAGTTGTAGGCCAAAACAGCTGGGGACCTATTTATTTATTTATTTATTTACTTAATTTATATACCACTTTTCTCAGCCCTTGGGTGACTCAAAGCGGTTAACAATAGCAAAATTCAATGCTCAGCATCATAAAACAGTTAAAAACCAATTAAAACAATGACATAATAAACAATCAATTAAACATAACTATAACATCTCATTAGCGTCTCTTAGGTAGAATCAAGATCCAATCTCATAATCCATTGTTTCATATTCCTATATTCAATACACTGCCTATTCAAATGCCTGCGCGAATAACCAGGTCTTCATTTTCCTCCGAAATGCTAATAGGGAGAGGGCCAATCTAATTTCTGTAGGAAGGGTGTTCGACAGCCGAGGGGCCACCACTGAGAAGGCCCTGTCTCTCGTCCCCGCCAGACGTACTTGTGATGCAGGCGGGACCGAGAGCAGGGCCTCCCCAGACTATCTTAACATCCTAGCGGGTTCATAGGAAGAGATGCGTTCGGACAGGTAAGTTGGGACAGAACCTACAGGTCGAGAAGCACTGATTTACATTATTATTATTATTATTATTATTAAGTAAGGAAACAGAATAATAAATGGTGATGATACCTTGGAGTTTGCCATCTCCAGAGTATTGTCTCTGCATTTTTGTGAAGCAGGAAATGAGGCAAGCGGAGTCATCTGTGCTTTTAATTCATTCCAGCTGTTCTCTCCCTTCCTCTAGACATTTCCTGTTCTTTGTTGTAACTGCCATCTGTCCAGGAGCCAGTGATTTTGTGTTTTTTCCTCTGATGTGCAAGAAACCAATCCTCACAGAGCATTTTTCTTTCAGGAAACTTACATTGCAAAGCTACAGCTAAAAATAATCTGTCGCCAGGCTATACAGATCAACAGGCGCCTATGGAAAGATGATGTGATGTTGGTGTTTACTTTCAGCTAGGATAATGGGCCCACTGTGAGTAAATCTATTTTGACATTTCTTTAGCACAGGTATAGTCTTCCCTCTATATTCACATATTCAGTATTCCCAGATTCCATCACCCGCTGTTTGATTTTTTAAATCCAAAAAGAAAACCTTGATTTTTCCATTTTATATAAGGAACTCCATTATATTTGAGTATCCAGATTTATTTATTTTTTTCGTGTCGGGAGCGAATTGAGAAACTGCAAGTTGCTTGTGGTGTGAGAGAATTTTGCCATCCTAGAACATTGCCCAGGGGATGCCCAGATGTTTGGGGTTCCTGGATTCGAACTGCTGACCTCTAGGTGATGATTAGTGATTAATAATTTATATAAGTTGGAAGAAGTAATGATTAATGACATGTATATATAAGCTGCGAATTCGATGTATAATATATAATGACTTGGCGATGGTTGTCCATGCCTTAGTTACATCTTGTATGCATTATTGCAATGCACTTTACGTGGGGCTGCCTTTGAAGATGGTCCCAGAAGCTTCAATTAATGTAAAGATCTGCAGCCATACTACTTACAGGGGCAGGTTGTAGACTGCCCTCTTGAAGCAGCTCCATGGCTGCCTGTTGGAAATAGTAACTTTCTTCAAACCTACACTAATTGTTTGTATAGTATATAACTTGAATTGCTTCCTGTATCGTATATGTGTATATTGGTTTGCAGTTTTTCTTTAACTCTTTGTTGTGGGTGGGGCTGCAGACCATGTGATCAGGTCTGGGCTTGTTCAGGACGCAGACTCTACTTTAGAACAGTATGCCTCAGACTTCAGTAGGAACTATATGCTTAGAGACTTCAGTAGAAAAAGATGTATGCTTTTAGAAGTGAGTTGAAACAGACTACAGAGACTATTAGACTTTCATAATAGAGAGATGCTTTGGACTTTGGACTGTTGATTATGAGAAAGATGCCCTGTGTTACCGACACAGAGAAACTACTTCAAATCCTATCTGTAACTGGATTGATATGCAAAGTACCTGTATGCTGAATACGTGAAGTTTGTGAGTAAACCAACTATGTTACTTTTAAAGAAGTCTACTTACTGTATTTTTGTTTCTTGAGAGCATGATTTAAAGGCAGATATATTTGAAGGGACAGTAGATGTTTTTGAGAAACTAAAAAGAGCACTTCTCAAACTCTGCAGAATATACTGTATATACTCGAGTATAAGCCTAGTTTTTCAGCCCCTTATTTAGGCTGAAAAAAATCCCCTCGGCTTATACTTGAGTCAAGGTTATTTATTATTTTACTCTGCTATTAGTATTATTTTTATTACATTTATTATTTTACTCTATTATTATTACATTTACATTATTTTACTCTGTTATTACTTTTAATACATTTATAATTTTACTCTATTATTACATTTACATTATTTTACTGTATTATTTATTGCATTTATTATTTTACTCTATTGTTATTACATTTATTACTTAATTATTATTACTATTATTATTAAATTTCCATTATTTACTCTATTATTTTTATTACATGTTATTATATTGATTATTTTATTCTATTGTTATAGGTAATAGGTAAGCACATTTACATTGAAGGAGGTTAGAATAATGGTTGAACCAGAGTTGGGCGGTCTTATCTTAAATTACAGTTTTGTGTAAATACTCAAAAACATTTAACCTACTGATGATTACCAGTAGAAGCTACATTTCGCACCCTCCGCTTATACTTGAGTCAATACGTTTTTCCAGTTTTTGTGGTAAAATTAGGTCCCACGGCTTATATTCGGGTCAGCTTATACTCGAGTATATACGGTATATAGTGCGTGGGCATATCTTTATCCCTAACAGTTCAAAGACATATTTAAGATATCAGTTTAACAGCTGAGAAACTTAATTGCCTTGAATACCATTTTCCTGAAAGGTTATGACTCCAACAGGTCATGCTTTTACCAAGAGGGCATGGCATCATTTTTCAAAAGGTTACAACTTCTAACAAGGTCGTGCCTTTCCAAAGATCATAAAATCTCCAAAAGGTTATGGAGATTTTGCCAAAACCACTGATTTGCTTCCAGACCCAATTCAAAGTGCAGGTTATTACCTACGAAGTCCTATGTTGTGAGAGCAGCTATTTGAAATTGCCTTAATGTAATAATTTCTTGTGTTCTGATGGAATAATTTAATAGGAACAATTATAAGAATCTGTAGGAAATTTTCTAACCTCTGATCTTACCGGCAGTCTGATATTGATTAACAGAACATGTCATGTATTATTTATTTATTTGAAACATTTATATTCTGCCCTTTTCACCCCAAAGGGGGCTCAGTGCGGAGCACAACATATGTACAGCAAACATTCCATGCTGGGACATCAAATAACTATAAAATTACACAACATTAAAATCAGTTATATCTACTTTAAAATCAGCTGTTCCTGTACCGTGAACATTCCATTCCGATAAGACAATTAATGACATAATGATAAGTTAGTAAGTGCAAATAAGAGCATCTGCGTAGTATGAACTATAGACTTAACCTAGCGTTACTTAAAATAATCATTAATGAAAGGATACCTAAAAGGATGTGAACAATGAACGCCATCTAGGGTGACTTAATAACTAATGAAGCATAATAAAATAATATATACTATAGATTATGGACTTTACTTACTCCATATGGGATTATTTTATTAATTAAATCTCTATATATATAAAATCCAAAAGGGCGTTGTTAGGGGCCGCAAAACGCGAAACCCCCCGGACGAAAACTCACCAAACTTGCCGTACGCATACCTCAAACCACAAGGTATGCACAACACTCAACACAATTCAAAACAACACATGGCCAGACCACGCCCCCTCCGCGGAAGCCACGCCCCTCCCTTCATCGCCCCTTCCCACACTGACGTGATCCTTCCCTCCTCCCCCTCCTCCTCCCCCGCCCAGGCCCCCTCCGAGAAAACCACGCCCCCTCCCTTCGCCGCCCCTTCCCACACTGATGCCATCCTTCCCCCCTCCTCCTCCTCCCCCGCCCACACCCCCTCTGAGATAGCCACGCCCCCACCCTCCGCTGCCCCGCCCCTACCTGCCCCGGGAAAGCCTCGCCCCCACCCTCCGCCGCCCCGCCTCTCCCCGCACTGACGCAATCCTTCCCTCCTCCCCCTCCTCCTCCGCCGCCCACGCCCCTCCGAGAAAGCCACGCCCCCCTCCCTTCGCTGCCCCGCCCCTTCCCACACTGACTCCCATTCCTCCCCCCTCCTCCTCCCGCCGCCCACGCCCCCTCTGAGAAAACCACGCCCCCTCCCTTCGCCCCCCCCTTCCCGCACTGACCCAATCCTTCCCTCCTGCCCTCCTCCTCCGCCCACGCCCCCTCCGAGACAGCCACCGCCCCATCCCGCCAGCGAAAGAAAGAAGGAGAGAAAGACGCAGGGAAGGAAAGAAATAAGGAGAAGGAAGGATGAAAGCAAACAGCTAAGGAAGGAAGTAAACAGGTAGAGAAGGAAGAAAGGAAAGAAGAAAACAGAATGAAGGAAGGAGTGAAAGAAGCAGAGAAAGAGGGAGAGAAGGCTGGCCACAGCAACGCGTGGCGGGTAAAGCTAGTAATTTATATAAATAAAAATGTAAATGTTTGTTCAAAATCTCAAATTTCTCAAAGTTCTTCACCGTTTGCTTTGAAATATTGATGCAGTGTAGCATTTGAATAGGCATATGCTTTTAAGTTTTCACATACCTACTATTATATACATATCACACATGTGACAGGTAAAATTATGCTTTTTTGAAAAACAGCACCATGTTTTGGACGTTAAAGCAGCACACGCTATACTATATATTTTACGATTCTATTTCAATGTTTCTGAATGGATTGTGAAATTGAATTTTCATAGATTTCAATTTAGTTTCATTTTGATTTAATTATTTAGTGTAACATTACGTTGGAATTGAGAAGTGTCATTTTGTAAGGGATCACGGGTTTAGGGTGCGGGGTCCCTTTTCGAAGACATCCACAGAGTCCAATTGGTTCATGTAAGACACCATTTATTCAAGCTGATCAGCATGAGACGGACTGTCATCACTTCTGTATGAGCTTTCAAAGACTGCCGCCCCCTCCTCTGTTTCTACTGACCTTTATACTCAAGTAATAGGTCAAGAAAGTACTCTCTTTCCAACCCCCCTCCCTTGACCTTTTGATGGAAAGTACTTTCTTGTACCTGCAGACTCTGCACTTAACCACAACCTTTGGCTTAACCACAACACAACTTCCTATGTAAGCTTGAACTTTGTATGACCTCTACATGTCAAATCTTGTTTCTTAAAAACATTTTCTTCCGTGTTGCTCTGTTAATTTCATTCAAAGCCCCTTGCTTAGCATTTGCAAATTTCACTCAAAGACCCTTTCAGTTTACTATAGCATTCATTTTGTTAGTATAGTTTATTATTGTCCTTCGCAATAAAAAAGGGCCGTGCCTTTGCCTTTCCAACTCAATGTTGCTTCTCAGTCTCAGTCCAAAGTTGCACCTAAGGGAAAGGGAGCGCGCCTCGACCACTCACCCAGGCCTCTTTGGGCAGGTAAGGCAGGCCTCACCTCATGGGCTCTGTGTGTTTATTTGGCTGAGCGGGCATGTGCATCACACCCCCTCCGTTGGGTTTCCCTAACTTCATATCCTCCCCTTTTAAAAAAGCCTTCACTATCAATCATTGTCTCATCTGGGGGGGGGGGGGCTTTCTCTCTCCTTCCCTCCTCCAATGCCACCTCCCCCTTCAGCAATGCCGCTGTATGTTTATTATTAATTTCATTGGGGCTCCTTTGGGTGCCCTGTGACTTTCTTTAGGCCCCTTCCACACAGCTGTATACAATCCACATTAATTGAGTTACAGTGGGGGGAAAAGTAACTAATCTATTTGCAAATTATGGTGGAAAATAAGTATTTGGTTACCTACAAACAAGCAAGATTTCTGGGCCTCACAGACCTGTAACTTCTTCTTTAAGAGACTCCTCTGTCCTCCACTCATTACTTATAGTAATG